AATATCGAAAGCTCTTTGAAAATTGCAACTCTTCACAACCTGACGCCCGTTGACAATTTTGAAAAGTTAGCTTCGTTATTGATTCTTGCACTGAACGATAACACGGATAAATTGAAAACTATCTTTAAAAATCTAAGTGAACAGTAAAGGTTAGATGATAAAAATGCAGAATTGATAAAAGAAATAACGGGTAAAAATAAAGAAATTCCTGGCTATATTATTTACAAAAATGTATTATTTAAGAAAAATAAAAATGACATTAATTGGCGAATAGTAATACCTCACACTATACAAAAAGAATTAATCACTGCAACGCACCAAAAATTGGGACATCCGGGAGTATTTAAAACCGAATCATACCTGAAAAAATTTTATTTCTGGAGATCACTCCATCGAGACGTGAAAAGATGCGTGCTGTCCTGCGACCTTTGTCAACGCGTCAAGTATCTTTCAAAAGCGATGGAAGGGGATTTCGAATTCGTATCGTCCGACAAGCCGAACGACCTAGTTACAGCGGATTTTTTCAGCCCCCTTCTGCGCTCTCGCGGGGGTGTGCAATACCTGTTGGTTATGATGGACGCGTTCTCTAAGCTCGTGAGACTATACCCTATGAAGGCCGCAACGACAGCTGCATCTTTGAAACGGGTGTTTGACGATTACATTCCGGATTGTGGAAAATTTCAGCGAATACTAACGGACAATGGCACACAGTTTACTTCTCCGGTATGGAAAAACAAGTTTGAACGTGAGGAGATTTGCGTGTTATATAGCTCGATTCGCCACCCTCAAAGTAACCCCACAGAGAGAGTGATGCGGGTGATTGGTCGTTTGTTTAGAACATATTGTCGCCAAAAGCACACAAGTTGGGCAAACCACGTGAACAAAATACAAACGATTCTTAACATAACGACCCATTTCAGTACGAACTTTACTCCGCATGAACTACATTTTGGTGTTCCCATTAAAAACGAGATAGAAAAGGTAGTACACTTTCCCAAGAGACAACTCATCGATAGAGAAATACTGATTCGACTAGCAAAAGATAACTTGAAGCGTAATTTCGAAAGGCGTAAAAAAGGTCACAAACCATCGAAGGTCGTGCTCGACCCCGGAGATAAGGTCATGCTGAGAGTTAGGCATTTATCGAATGCTCTAGATAAAGTCACAAAAAAATTCTTCGATCTGTATGAAGGCCCTTACGTCATTACCGAGAGAATTGGTCAAAACGCTTTTAGACTTAGCGATCCGAATAATCAGGATCAATCCATTGGCACCTATAACCGTATCAATCTACGAAAATACCACGAGGAATAAGCGACGTTCCTTTGACGACTAAGACGAACAATTAGTGATAAATATGGCAATGTACATATATAGCTGTAAGTAAATCATTAGGTGATAAAGCGAAATTTTAGCAATTGGCTTGATTGAAATAAAGATGTGAAACGAATTATTTCCGTTCTCTGGACATTGTCGATGCAACTCGAATTACGATAAATATGTTTACGTGTAGTAATGACAACAAATTGTGTGATGGTATGAGTGGGTGAGTGAGTTGGGTCGACCCATGTAATAATTGCGCTGTTTGGATTAGGGCCCTTACTAGCTGTAAGCTGCGTTAGATGTTGCATGTTCTTGCGTTTGTTGTTGTTGCGTTAGGCGACACGACAAATGGAAGTAATAGATATATTATAGGTATAATGATGTGTGAGCGAAATAGAGACATTGAGCTCCCTCTCTCGATGATTGAATAAAGAATTGCTTGATGAATGATATGGCAGGCGAGTGGGATGTTTGGACGATGAGCGATCGGCATCGGTTTATCATAATGACGGATTCGCTCGTAGAGTTTTATATATGACGCTGTGCGCTCGTGCTGGGGAGCTTTTCCTCGAAGCCACATACGCCCTTACGTGCAATAAGGGGGGAATGTAACAGTGCAATTCATATTTGCCGCCATTGATAGATTGCGCTCAGTGCGTATGGCTTGATATCACTCTGCCGGCCCATTGTCAAGGTAGAGACGGCGCCACATGATTTGAGGAGACACTTTCTCGATGGCTCTCTCGCCTGGGGACCTTCGAACAGACTATACCTCCTCGCTCGTGCTATTATTTTCCAACGTCTACCTTCGTTACCATGTGCCTCAAGAAAAGTCTCACTAGCATCGTCTCTCATATCTTCCAACCTGCATTGATCGAGTGCTTGCCATCAATAATCCCAAGAAATCCTACTATAAGGATAGGCTCTTTCTAAGGGACTTAGAACAACGACAAGGGGAGGAGGAGAGGACTATTACCCTAGGAGAACAGCCAACAATTATCTACGTACAGAATCATAAGATGAGTAGCCACTGCGTAGGCCACGGCTTTGTCGCTTATTCAAAATTAATAACCGTTAGATAAATCGTTATCATGTGCTCATCGTTCATTTATAAGCGAGTATGTCTGAGCGAGAAATTAGATAAAGATTGTATTAATTACTACATAAAATATTGACATGAGCCATTTATACTGTAATTAACGTTTGATTTTCTCTTTTATGTACCAAGTAAGAATAAATGTTAGATATTATTGAGAGATTAAATTATTAACATTCAACTGAGCCTTGTCGTCCAATCCACCTGCTATTGTAGTTTGCAGTCAAAAACTGACGCACAACGAGTGAAAAATGCTCTGAAGCACAAAGTTATTGAGGGGTTATTGAGGTATTATTGAGAGATTATTGAGAATCGTTATTACAGGATTGACTCTCACGTTCGGGGTGCTTGTTTAACGTGAGTCCCCTTGCCTCTCTCGTTTGTCACAATTGATTTCATTAGCCACGGATAAACTGTTCAAAGTTTCCTCCGTTATTTTCAATACACAAGCGTATTTATCTTTCAAAACTATCCACAGTTTTAAGCAACATCGCTTGAGGGATGGCTTTACAAGCTATTTGAATTCTGTGCCTCATATCGTCTAGGGTCGTGGGCTTTAAAGCATAAGCAACATTCTTTAAGTGTCCTCACAAATAAAAATCAGACAATGTCAGATCTGGAGAGCAAGTAGGCCATTTAACTGGGCCTTGTCGTCCAATCCATCTGCCATTGTAGTTTTCATTCAAAATCTGACGCATAATGAGTGAAAATTGCGCTAGAGCACCATCATATTGAAACCACATTCTTACTCGCGTTGCTAAGTCAACGTCTTTTAACAGTTTCAGCAGGTAATTCTGTAGCAACTCTAAGTAAGTATCTCTATCAACGTTTCCGTCAAAAAAATAGGGTCCAATCAAATAGCCATGTACTACTCTGCATCATATCATTAGACTCCATCGATTCTGATAGTCCAAAGCTCTATATCAGTAAGGATTTTCGTCCGACCAATAGTGAAAGTTATATACCTATTGAAATTGTCCATCGCTGTGAAATATAGCTTCATCTGAGAAAAGTACATATCGAAAGAAAGAAGGATCATTGTCTATCATTTGCAAACCCATTGACAGAAATTAACACGAGCTAAAAGATGATGTGGTCTCATGGCTTGCGTCAGAGTAATATGATAAGCGTGAAAGCGATGGACTCTTAAAATTCTTGAGACTGTACGTTGTGGTATTCCTGTTTTTCTTTCGATCTGCCTGGTACTGATGTGTGGATCAAGATGAACAGATGCTAGAACAACCAATACTTGCACGTCATTGTCGTCATACTGATGATGTCGGCGTTGGCGCACCAGCTGTCTGGTACGTGCTCTTTCAGACAAGTTTCTCATTGCCATATCCATAGGATGACTGAGGTCTCGGTACCTGTTTGGAACAAACGCGCACGCAGCGCCCTGACGCTACCGGCGTGCGGCAGGGCCGATCGCTGACGCCTTAGAGAGAGGCCGACAGGGAGCGCTCGACAGTGACCTCTCCCGACAGGAGCCTGTTTTCCGAGCTTTTCTTTTGTCCTGAACGCCTTCAACGGACTGACTATTAAGTGCTCTCCAGAACGTGTCACATTTGTTCAGAGTGTAATCCGATTTCAGTTAAGCAGAATAAATCGAATCGAAACACCCCCGCCTTTTCTTTCACCTTCTGCGCATCATTGGTCCTTCGAGCCGGATTCCAGCCAAAAGAGGAAATTCACGGTGAGTAAACTCAAACTATCCGAGTGCAATAGCGGACGCCCATCACGTCCTCAAGCCTCTCTGGTGCGGGCAGAGAGGAAGCCACCTGCGCAGCATTGCGCAAGGCTCAGCAGAGAACCGGATCACGGGTCATTCGTTAATGAATATGGGCGTCACGGCGGGCGGCTGCCGTCGACGGACTCCTGGGTTACGCGACGGCCCAGCGACTCACAAATATGGCGTCTGGGCGAGTGGCGCGCGACGGCGACTACCGACTCGGCACAACAAGCGCCACGGCTGTGAACACTTGAGTCGCGTGAGGAACCGCCGGTATACAAAGCGGGCGTCGCAGCGGGCGACGTTCGACGATGATAGCATCAATTTGGCACGGCGGGCGCCGGGCGAGCGGTCGCCCACACGAGGTCTTCGTGCATGCGGGGTCCTACCTGGGCGCGCGCACACACTGGGGGCAACTGGGGGGTGGACCATCGGATGCGAGGACGACGCAACGGCCGACACCTCTGCCGCGCCTGCCGATGCAGCCGATGAATCTCCCCCCCTTTTGTCTCTCTTTCGACGACAGCGCGCCTGGGCGAACCCAGCGGCGCGGGGAAGAGCCCACCATATTTCACGCTCAGAACGACGCATTGGCGAGGCGCTGCGGCGCGGCAGCCAACGAAACTACAGGCCCTCGAGCACACGTCGGCAGGCGGACTGCCGAGCGCGCGACGAGCCATCGGGCTGGCCGATCCAGGCATCGTGACGTCTGCCAACTGCGGGCCGGGTGAGCCGGTACGACACGCGGCCCCGAGTGCTGAAAGGTCAGCCTCGGGTGACAGTTTGGCCGTCCGCGCGAGCCTGCCCGAATCATCCTGATTCTCACACGACTCCCTCTCATGAATCTCACAGATGGAGCTCATCCCAGTCCAGCGGGAGCTTGGAAAGGCCATCCGTCGGATCGCCGAACAGGTAGCTAACACGCCGACAGCCTCTTGGACTCTCGGCGCCATCGAGATACAGTTAGATCTACTCGAGGGCTACTGGAACAATCTGAACGGCAACCATGGCCGACTATTGACTTCATCGGAGGCCGCCGTCTTGGAATACTTGGCAGGCAATGACTACGCGGTCGCCGAGGAGCTTTTCATGGAGAGCAAGAGCACTCTCCTGGACCACCACGTCCGTTGCATCGCGTCTGAAGACCGCTCATCGTTGACTGCTACTTCCTCGGAGGCCGCCTCGGATCCAACAGTCCCGGCCGTGAAGCTGCCGCGCCTCTCCATACCCACCTTCTCAGGTAAGCCTGAGGACTGGGAGTCGTTCAGGGATCTGTTCCTCGACCTCGTGCACAACAACAGCACGCTGGGGATCGCCATGAAGATGAACTACCTCAAGACGCACGTCGAGGGAGTGGCCAAGGATGCACTGACGCCCTTCCGCTCGGTCAACGGCGACTATGCTCAGGCCTGGGAGGCATTGTGTCGACGCTATGACCAGCCGCGCCTGCAGGTGAAGGACCACCTCGCCGCCTTGGTGAAGCTGACGTCCATCGCCGAGGAATCGCCGGAGAGCCTTCAGACTTTGCTGGACGAGCTAAACAAGCGCCGCACGCAACTCGAGCGGCTCGGTCGGCCAGTCGGAGCCTGGGGTGACTGGTTCGTCTACATGGGGTGCCGCGCCCTGGACTCAGTAACCATGCGAGCCTGGGAGGAACACATAGAGCAGCGGGCACGTAGCGCGGAGCTATCAAAAGTTGAAGCGACTTTTGAAGAGTTCGCCGAGTTTCTTCAGCGGCGCTACTGCACACTGAGGGCTCTGGGTCAAACCCTCAGCACTTCCTCTCACCGCCCGGCCGAGAAACGGAAGTTTTCGAGACCCGCAGACACCCTGACTATACGCGCCCACGCTACTGGAGCGTCTCGAGTGAAGGGAGGATGCCCAGCCTGCAAGGAGGCCTACTACATCGGCCATTGTTTCACCTTCCGAGGCCTCGACCCTGAGGAGCGACGGAAACTTGTGGCCGCTCGGGATCTTTGTTATAATTGCCTCAGCGGGAGTCACACCGCCGGGAACTGCCCCTCCAGCGGCACTTGCCAAAGCTGCTCCGGAGCGCATCATAGCCTCATCCACGAGGGCACTGGAAGATCTAGACGAGGAGAAGAAGAGCCTCGCCCATCGACCTCGGGGGAGACACCGACTACGCAGCTCCAGACGGCTGCCACCGGCGCACCATCCCCAAGAGACGACGGTTCCGCATGACTAGCCGTCCTCCCCACCGCCCTCGTCCCTATGAGCAGCGGCGGGGAAAACAGAGAGCTTGCCCGAGCGCTCTTAGATCCATGCTCAGAGGCCATTCTCATAAGCCTCGACCTCGTCCGCAGACTCGGCTGTCAACTCCGCCGCACGAACACCAGCATTACCGGGGTTACCGGTTCAGCTATGGACTCAGCCAGACATCAGGCGACTGTTTACATCATCGAGCCTTCCGGCGGCCCTCCGATCAAGACGGGGGCCTTCGTTCTGCGCTCGCTCGGCATCATTACTCCTTCGGCAATGCCGGGCCCAAAACTGTCTCTGCTCAAGCGTAAGCTCCTGCTCGCAGACCCGACCTTCCACCGACCAGGCCGGATCGACGTCGTGATAGGGGCAGACATCTACCACCGCATCATCAGAACCGGCATGAGGAGATTCGGACAGCTTGTCGCCCAGAACACATCGTTCGGCTGGACCGTGATGGGCTCCGCTCACTCCAAACAGGCAAGTGACGTCCGTTAAAGCATCCAGACCCACGCCGTCTCCGCTCGCGCCACGAGCGATCTAAGTCACGAAGAACTGCTCACACTGGTCCAGCGCTTTTGGGCTCTCGAGGAAGTACCGGTCGCGAGGAGGATCTCCACAGCTGACCAAGAGTGCGAAGCGATCTACGCGCGAGGCGTTCGTCGCGAGACAAGCGGACGATACGTCGTTCGGCTGCCGCTGAAGCCCGAACACGCAGCCTTGCTCGGTGACAGCCTACTCCACGCCCGCTCCGCCCTCTTCTCTATGCAGAGACGAATGCTCGCCGACCAAACGCTACGCGAGAGTTACCAGTAGTTCATGGAAGAGTACGTTCGACTGGACCACATGAGATTACTCTGGGAGTCGGAACTTCAGGAGAACAGAAGCACCGTCTACTACGTGCCGCACCACGGCATCTGGCAGCGCAGCGACAGCGGCCCTAAGCTCAGGGTCGTCTTCAACGCCTCTCGAGCCACCTCTTCCGGAATCAGCCTCAACGACACCCTCCATGCCGGCCCAAAACTGCAAGGGCACATCTCCACCATACTAACCCGCTGGAGGAGGCACCGATACGTCTTCTGCGCAGACGTGCAGAAGATGTTCCGTCAAGTACTCATAGACGACCGAGACATCCACCTTCAGTGCATCGTCTGGAGTCCCACCGCCGGCCTGCCGCTGCAGCACTACGCCCTACGCACGGTCACCTACGGCACCGCTTGCGCACCCTACTTGGCCTTGCGCACGATGAAACAGCTAAGCGACGACGAGGGCGAAAAGTTCCCGCTCGCACGAGAGGTTTTACAGCAAGACCTTTACATGGACGACTTCGTGAGCGGCGGCCATGATCTAGATACCACCGGTAATATCAGAGACCAACTCATCGGCCTCTTCGCTGCGGGCGGGTTCCACCTGCCCAAATGGGTAGCCAACGACCCTGCTCTCCTCGAGGAGATCACCCCCGACGATCGACTCCAGCCTAGCTGGGTACAGCTGTCTGCCGAGGGGCCGGTCTGAGAGCTCGGCGTGGCCTGGGACCCGGTCGAGGACAATTTCAAATTCGGCCCCGGTAACCCCGAGACATCTCCCCGGCTCACCAAAAGGACAGCGCTGGCAGAACTTGCCGGGATCTTTGACCCCGTCGGCTGGCTCACACCGCTTACTCTCGTGGCCAAGCTCCTTATCCAGGACATGTGGCAAGCCAAGCTAGATTGGGACGAGGATCTGCCCAAGGTTTGGACCGACAAGTGGCTCACATTCCGAACGAGCATCCACGAAACGACGGGATTTGCCATCAGCCGCTGGATTAGCCATTTCCCCGGCCAGGAGCTCCAGCTCCACGCATTCTCAGATGCAAGTCGCCGAGCCTTAGCGACCGTGGTCTACTCTCGAGCGGCCGAGGACGGCGGGCGGGGATTCACGACCATCATCGGCGCCAAGTCCAAGCTGGCTTCGATCAAGAGCCTTATGCCGGCTTCTGAAAAGCGCGCCAGAATGACAATCCCACACCTGGAGCTGAGAGCCACGCTCATCGCGGCGCAGCTCTTAAGGAACGCCGCAGCCGCTCTCTCCGTTCCACTGACGAGCTGCCATCTATGGAGCGACTCCCAGGTGGCTCTTCACTGGCTTCGCTCGGACAGCCCAGTCGGTCATGACCTCATTGACAACTACGTGGCACACATTCAGGAACTCGCCGAGGGAGTTGCCTTCCATCACATGCCAACCGATTGCAATCCCGCTGACGTCGCCACCCGCGGGACAGACGCCACTCAGCTGGCTCACCACCCTCTCTGGTGGAAAGGTCCCGCCTGGCTCCCTCGTCCGACGAGCGAGTGGCCCAAGGAGGAGGAAACAGTCCCTCTTGCGACCACGTCGCAATGCCTCATCGCAGCTTGTACGAAGATCACTACCGAAACGGACTACATTGAGAGGTTCTCGTCGCTGGGCGCTCTCCTGAGAGGCACGGCCCGGGCCATTCGCATCCTGAGATGCCAAGAAGGCCTTCTCGCACCGGTTACCGCCAATGAGCTCCGGCATGCCTTCGTCGTCTGCGCCAAGATCTCGCAGCGTAGACATTTCGCCGAAGAGTTAACTCGTCTCAGCAAAGACGGCTCTCTGCAAGGATGCCACCAACTCAAGTCGCTGGAGCCTTTCATGGATGGCGACGGGGCAGTTCGAGTCGGGGGACGGCTCGCTCGGTCGCCTCTGTCTTTCGACGAGAGACACCCAATACTACTCCACGGGATGTCCGCCTTCGCTCAGCTCGTTATCCACTGGGCCCACGAGCGCTGCCTCCACGGGGGCTTCCGAGCGACCTACTCTCTCGCCCTCCAACGAGCTTGGATCACCGGAGCCCGGGTCCGCATCAAGAGGTTCATACACCACTGCACACTGTGTGCTCGACTGACTGCACGCCCTGCCTCCCAACAAATGGCCGCTCTACCACCGGTCAGAGTCACCCCCGCTCGACCATTCTCTAAGTGCGGGGTTGACTACGCCGGGCCGCTCTCCATGTGCCGCAACAAGGAGAGAGGCGCTGCCACGTTGAAAGGTTACGTTGCGCTATTTGTGTGCCTCTGCACAAAGGCAGTGCACCTGGAGCTCGTCAGCGACCTCACCACAGCCAGTTTTCTAGGAGCCTTCACTCGGTTTGTCGGGAAGTGTGGGAGACCAGCTGAAGTTTGGAGCGTCAATGGCACCAACTTTCGAGGAGCTGCATTGGAGCTGAGACGTCTGCTCCGAGAGGCCGAAATCGACTGGGGCGTCGTCGAGAGCGAACTCACCAAGGATGGAACTTCGTGGAAATTCATTCCGCCCTCGGCACCGGACTTCGGGGGCCTGTGGGAGGCCGGCGTCAAGTCAATGAAGAGACACTTGATGCGGGTGGCCTCTCCTCACCGCCTCACTTACGAGGAGCTCACTACTCTTCTAGTTTCCATCGAAGCTACTCTGAACAGCCGCCCGCTCATTCCGCCTGCTGGTGACCTCGATGACATCGAGGCCCTCACTCCTAGTCACTTCCTCATCGGGACTTCAGCCACCTCTTATCCTCAGACTAGCAGTGCCGGCCAGCCCCTATATAGAGCTAGTCATTGGGAGCTCGTCCAGGCCATGAGGAGTCACTTCTGGGCCCGCTGGAGTCGGGAGTACCTGAATACACTCCTCCAGAGGTCAAAGTGGAAATCTTCTCAGCCTAACCTCGAAGTCGGAGATTTTGTCATCCTCCTCGACCCCACTCTGCTTCGACCGGACGGCCGATGGCCTCTTGGCCGCGTGACGGCCACCATGCCTGGATCAAATGGCCTCGTGAGAGCGGTCAACGTTAAAACCGCCACTGTCGAGTATACTCGACCCATCGTCAAGGTCGCTCGGCTACCTATCCAAGACACTTCCAGCTCGTCGACAGCAGCAGCCCCATCAAATGAAGTCGTTCCCGGAACGAGGCGGGCGGGATGTTTGGAACAAGCGCGCACCCAGCGCCCTGCCGCTACCGGCGTGCGGCAGGGACGATCGCTGACGCCTTAGAGAGAGGCCGACAGGGAGCGCTCGACAGTGACCTCTCCCGACAGGAGCCTGTTTTCCGAGCTTTTCTTTTGTCCTGAACGCCTTCGACGGACTGACGATCAAGTGCTCTCCAGAACGTGTCACATTTGTTCAGAGTGTAATCCGATTTCAGTTAAGCAGAATAAATCGAATCGAAACACCCCCGCCTTTTCTTTCACCTTCTGCGCATCAGTACCATTTAGCGAACAGTCTCGATGCAGTGGCATAATTGTTATGACATTCTCCTAAAATCATTATCATACCGACAATATCAGTAGGCGTATAATCTGCCATCTCTATTGAGTATGCATCCACAAAATAACTCAAGGATTTGGAACTTTAACTTACATATGTAATAATCTAATAAAGTTTTAATAATAAATACAAGATTTAAAAAAAAAGTGATACCAATCAGAAACTTTCAAATTTATAATCATGATGCATGACTTTGCGTATTACTGGAAAAATTTTTATTCTTCGGAATTTATTATTTTGCAATGCATAACTGGAAGGTATTTACATTTATACTTTTTTAAAATTAAATAAATTTAATTAAATCTTAAGTTTCTTAAGATGAAACCAATAATTTTCAATTTATTCATCTTTCAAATCGAACACAGTTAAACAGCTTTATATGACTAATCTCATGAAGTGAGACGGATAGGAAAAGAGAAGCGAGATAACACGAGAGGTAAGGTAGGGGGAGGGATGAGTAATAAAGGAACTGGAAAAAAGAGGGTGGGAAAAGGAAAGAGGGTAGGGACAGGTCGATATGTTCTTATTTGAGTTACTTTCGAGGTCAGCAGTGTCACACTTGAGTTAACATATTGCAAATAAATACTTTCACAACGACTGCTTCGTTATAGAAATTAAAAAAATTACTATCCAACTTTTTAAAATTTTGCTCTTAAATGAACCCTCTGAAGGTCACGAAAATAAACCTTTGAATAATATTCCGGACGAATAATTTCCAGCTTTTTCCAAATCTGGTGTGAGAAATAGGGGCTTCCATTAAAAAAGTAAGGTTAACCTTGTGACGAGAGCGAGCATTGCGCTTGTTACCGTCAGTATTTTTCCCCATTTCCTCCTGTCTCGGCAAGGCACGGTGAACAGCGTTGGGCACATTTAAGAAGGCACCTAATGAATGGTCTTTGTTTTCAGCCGACGGAGATTGCCGAGCGAGGCCGAGCTCGCCCGAAGCCGTTGAAGTGGACAACATAAAGGTGTTAGAAAAAGAGAGAGAGAGAGAGAGAGAGGCACACGTGCCCCACGTAGATTTAGGCAGGCATGCGACGCGTAACCAATTAGTGCTTGACTCACGCGTCGCTTAATGAGTAGGCCAAGTATGGAAGAAAAAAGGGAAAGTGAAGGGTCGCTACCGATTGCGGTCGAGCGCAGAGCGGCAGTTCGACAATTTAGCTAGAGAGAGTAACAGTTTTCGTGACGAGTACAACAGCCGATCGACGAGAGTCAAGGAAAAGAGAAAGCTACACCGATCATCAGAATATTGTCGCTATCACCTTAGCCACACAAAACTGTTTTTGATATCCATCTGAGTGACAACCATCCGCACGGCAGCCTATTTCCATCGAAGTTTGGCCTGCAACAATCAAGGTTAAGGACCCCTTTGTATTTTCTCTCTTTCTTTGGCGGCACAGCGAAGATGTGTGAAAGTCAAGTAGATGGCAAGGCGTTAGTGCGCTGGCTATTTGCTTGTAATTACATGGCCGGTGTATTATTGTTAAGTTAGCAGACCGTCAAGGCGATCCTTCACCAGGCGGTTTTACTTAGTATCAGTAGAATAAGTCGGTTTTTCGCCAATGCGGTCACCTGCCGGGCGACACTTTCCGTGTATCGCTAATGCTTTGTAAGAGCATTAACAATTTTAACTTATTTGTTCTTCCGTTTCTTTTGTGTGTAGTATATGTTAATAACTCCATTGTGTTCGTTAGCATGTAAAGTTTGTAAAGTTTGTGTTAATAATAATTCGATAAAATTATTTAATGGTTTTTGAAGAGTGATTTCAACTTAATTTCTTGACCCTTCTTTTCCCCTTCCCGATTGCTATGAGCAAGTACGCCTCACTTGTCCACCTTTAAACAATTGGTAACGTGCAGTTTCGTTACAGCCTTGAATGACTTTGGGGGTGGGGTGGGGGTCATTCGGATTCTATAATTATCCCATTATCAATTTCACGTAGAATTTAAACCTGCGACGAAAAATGAGGGGTCCCATTTAAAAAGTAAAGTTGACCTTGAAATAACTTTAGAGATGGGGTGAGGCTCATTTGGACTCCACACATATTACATGATTTGAACGTAGAATTTAACGCAGAATCCGAATCCGAGATATAAAGTAAAGGTTCCTATTTAAAAAAACATTGACCTCGGAATGACCTTGACTCATCATGTTCAAGGTCAAATTTAAGGTCACCAAAATATGGTCCCCTTGGTATTGAGCAACTTTTGTTTAAACAATTTTTCTGTATTATGCATAGAATTTGAGATATGGGGGTCCATAGATTAAAATGACTCACCCTGTATAACATTACTATAATTTATTATCCAACGTTATATTGCTTTTCTGAATTTTTTGTGATTGAAATCGGATTATTAGTTGGTGATGTAATATCTTAATCTTTTGACCTGGAAGTCCATGAATAACTTCAATAACAAACCGATAGACAGTAACTATTCGACACTAATTTGCTTCTTAGTAAGGCAACTATTTACGTTGACTTTTCAATGAAGACATTACTTTTCTATCTTTTTTTTGTAATCTCACGACGTCGTGAAATACTGTAATTTGAATAAAAATGTCACCATCTCGAATCAAATTGCACAAGTTCTCATTTTCATTCAATAACCAATCCATAATATTTGTAGCATTTTTATTTACATAGTATGACCCCGAGATATCAACAACAAACCCATTCGTTGTACACATTGTAAACGACTTCTATAGAAAAACCTTTTTCTGACCGGAATAAGATTTTTTTTGATACTGGTTATTGAAACTTTTTTGATGACATATATACGAGTACATACCATCACCAACTAGAAAAAGCGTATTAGCTTTTATACCATGCAACTTTTGAACTATACTGGTAGTATGATCTCTTATGAGATCCGTTCGTTTTATCACTCCTAATTTGAAATGAGAAGTGAGTACATCACGTTTAAAGGAATCTAAAATTGAAGCTGAAAAATCCGATACGTGCAGTAAAAGACCTTGCTGTGGATAAGACCAAGTAAAGAATAAATTAATTTGTTAGTATTTTCAGTTCATATTTTGAAAAGAAAGACAACTAGCGCTTAGCTAATGCTTTGAGTCTCCCTATTTCATAATAAAGTCATCATTTTTTGTAATTTGATGAATTTTTTCCAATTTAATATAATAAAAGTTAAGAGTCGACCTTCCGGAAAACTGAGAGCAGTAATCCTATTTGTAATTTCTTTGTTAGAATTGGAGGGGTTTTCAAAAAGAAAGATTACGTTTGGTTTTCTCAAAAAATATTTATTTATTAGTCAATATTTATGTTGTCCCCTTCAAAGTAATCCCCAATAGCTATATTACACTTATGCCAGTGCTTTCTCTAATCATCGAAGCACTTTTGATAATCATTTTGAGGTATAGCCTTGAGTTCTTTCAACGAAACAGTTTTTATCTCCTTAATCGTTGAAAATCGATGTCCTATCTTGGGTTTCTTAAGTTTTAGGAAAAGAAAAAGTCACTGGGAGCCAAATCCGGTGAATATGGAGGCTAAGGCTTGACTGTGGAGTCGGTTTTGGTCAAAAAATCTCTCACAAGCAACGATGAATAACCTGGTGCATTATCGTGATTTAAAATCCACGAATAATTTTTCCAAAGTTCCGGAGGTTTTTTGCGTATTGCATTTTGCAAACAACGCATAACCTCAAGATAATACTCCTTATTGACCGTACGACCTTATGATTAGAATTTCGGATGAACTACGCCACGGGAATCAAAGAAGACATTGAGCAAAACCTTGACATTTGACCGAACTTGGCGTGCTTTTTAGGGTGTTGGCTCTTCTGGGGTCTTCTATTGGGACGATTGGACTTTAGTTTTGAAATCATAACCATATACCCACGATTCATCATCAGTTATAACCCTTTTGAGAAAATCAGGATCTTCATTGACTTCATTCAATATCTCCTGAGTCATGGTCGTGCTACGGTTCTTTTGATCAAAATGAAGCAATATTGGAACGAATTTCGCTCATACACATCTCATGTCTAAAACATCCGAAAAAATATCATGGCATGAGCTAACCGATATGCCAACATCTTCTGCAACTTCTCTGATGGTGATTCAACAATTTTTTACCACAATTTCTTTCACTGCTTCAACCTGTTCATCTCCAGGGCGAGGTTCGTCTTCGACATTCTCTCGGCCTTCTTGGAACAGATTATATCACTTACAAACATTTTTCTTACCTAGAGTAGACTCTCTCTATGCAATTGTCAATATTTCAAGAGCTTTAGAGCACTGGATTCCATTTTTCAGTCAAAATTTAATGCAAACTCTTTACTTCTATCTTTTCGATAGAAGAAAATCGCCAAGCACACCAAACACTTCTAACCTTTGACGCCTCTGCCAGAAAAACAACACGTGCGATAAAGTCAAAATTAGGAGTATATGATCGTGGCGAGTGTATCAACACAATAACAATAAAAATTCAAAACTTAAATGTACATAGCCCGCAAAATTGAAAAGTCATCTTACTTTTTGAACATCCCTCGTATAAGCTCAAATTGTCAAGAAGCTTTTCTTTTCTTTTCAGTAAGAAAGTCCAGCAATCAGTAATGGTTTAGCTGAACAAGGAAATGAAGGAACTATTCTAAAAATAGCTGCGGAAAGAAAAATTAACTTGTAACTTTAATCAACGGTAAATGCTAGTAGTGCTCCACCTTCCGATTATAATTATAATGTGTAACGGGCTGCCGTTTAGTCTATAA